TGCAGCCTCCACGGTGTCCAGGCCTGTGCTGGGCAAGCTGCTGCTCAAGGGTCTGCTGGGTGATTGAACCAACACACAAATGAGCAAAAGAAACAACTAATGGATTAAATGTGCTCCAGATGCAGGGGATGACAGGAGTGGGTAGCATCTGGCGTTCGCCCAGGTGAGAGCAAGCAGGTGGCTGGTCACCCAGTGGCTGTTGGCTATCAGAACAGGGGCATCCACAGATGAATGGACGTGACGACTCCACCAATCCCAGTCATAAATCACAGGAGAAGCCACGGGAAATGAGTGCCAGGCTTTTCTTTCTATTTAGTAATTTATCAAGGGAAGAGGCACATTAATAAACATATTTCCCTTGAGGGGTGGGAATAACAGAGATGAATATCACTGTCAGATTTGGCCTGTTTCCTCTTGTTGGAGGCACTCATGAGGGTGGGAATCCAAATATTAGTAGCAAAATCCTTTTTTTTAACATATTACAAAGATGTGTGTATTTCTTAATTTGTGTGATATTACATCTCACCCCGCTCATGTCTTTTCCCGTTTGCCACCCAGTTCATAAGTAATAGAAGTCTTTCGAAAGATTCACTTTTACATCTTGCTTAGAGTTTCCTTTAAAATGATCATGAACAAGGAATGAGCCCAGTAAATAAGAATTAAGAAGCTTAGAGGATGCCCAGATGGACGGATGAGTGTTTAGGGACGGATGTCCTCTTGTGTGGTCCAGTCATTTCTCTCTAGGTCTGCTGTCTCTTTTTTATTTTAAGGCTGCCCAGGGATGTAGGATCTTAGTTCCCCAACCAGGGATCAAACCCGTGCAGGGAAAGAACGGAGTCCTAACTACTGGCCCACCACGGAATTCCCTAGATTTGCTGTACTTTATTCCATTATGAGCTCTAAGCTCACCCTGCTTACCAAAAGAGTCCTCCTTGCCCCTAAAGAAGCCATATTAATTCAGTTTTATTTTGGAAGATCTACTGGGTTTGAGGCACTGTCCATGGTGCTGTCCCTGAGTCATCAGGGCAAACCTGCTGCTCTGAACCCATTGTACAGATGGGCATAGAGAGGCTCGAGAAGCTAAGTCAAACATCCAGGACAGCACTATGCGTCAGTCTGTCTGTGTGCCCTCAGTGCTGTGAGGGGGTGTGTCTCCACCCAGGGCCCCCGAGCCCATGAGGGCTGTCCCTGGCTATCTGCCCTCACCTCCTGGGCAAAGGCAGTGCGGTGGTGGTTCTGGTGTCCTCCTTTTCAATCATTCTGTACTTCCCCTGGCTGTGAGACCTTGGGCAAACTTCTCGTCTTGTCCTTTGTAAAACGAGGCTCATAATAGCCCCTTCCCTATGGGACAGTTGTGAAGAGTAAACTGCTTTATACTTTAAAATGCTTAAGTCACAGACACCCTCGGGCAGTCAGTAAATACTGACGTTGAACAGTTCTCCCTCGACACACCAGGCCTCTGCCCCATGCCCAGTGTTTAGCATCTCCACGGAGCTAACCACAGAGCCAGCTGATCCCAGTGTCGGGATTCAGCGGTGAGCAGGGAGCCCTTGTCCCTGATTCATGGATGCAGGAGGAGCAGGAGCAACCAGATACACACAAGAGGGTTCAAACCCCCTCAGAAGGGACTGGGGCGCCCTGAGATCATCCGGGACAGGGCAGAGGGCAGCCCAACTCCAGGAGGTCAGCAATGTTTTCTTGGGGAAGGTGATGACCCAGCTGAGGACAGAGCACTGCAAAGGAAGCAGAAGGTGCAAAGGCTCTGTGCCGGGGACAGGAGGCGGCTGGTGAGGCAGGCAGGCGGGGGCGCCCCCAGGGCCACTGTGGAAGCCACAGTGAGGACTCGTGCCTTTTCCCTAACAGCAGCGGGAGCTCCGGAAAGGTGTGCGCAGACACAAGCACGAGATCTGGTTTGGCCGCAGTGAGGAATGTGGATCGGGTGGCAGTCAGCTAAGGGCCCCAGGGTGCCTTAGGCAAATGGTGGGCTGGACCGGTGGAAGTCAAGAGAAACGGGTGGAGGTCTTCAGTGGAGACTCGGCTGTGAGGGAGATGAGGAGGGGTCGTCAGGCCGACTCCCACTCCCCAACTCTGCTGCTCTATGGGTGGTGGATACCCACAAGGCCCAGCCCTGCAGGAGGGGGGCTGTGTGGGCTGAACTAGGGCAGCCGCCCTTCAGATGCAGGAGGCCAGGTGGGCAACTGCTGTCAGAAAGTTCACTGTCGAAGCTGCTTAAAGTGGGGAATGGAAAGCAGTTTGTGGTGAGATCTTGCTGGCCTCGCCCCTGCCCACCTCTCTGAAGGTGGCCACTGAGGACCCAGAAAAGCCACGCATCAGGGCTCCTCTGGGCCTGGGTCCGAATCCTGCCCTTGAGCAAGTCTCTAACCTCCCCAAACCTCAGTTTCTTATTTGCACAGCTGGGTTTGCATCTTGGGGGACAGTTCACTTCAGTCACTCAGTTGTGTCTGACTCTTTGCCACCCCATGGACTGCAGCCCTTCCCTGTCCATCACCAACTCCCGGGGGACACTCTTGGGAGACAGTGAAAGTAAAGTCGCTCAGTCGGGTCCGACTCTTTGTGACCCTATGGACTGTAGCCTACCAGGCTTCTTTGTCCATGGGGTTTTCTAGGCAAGAGTACTGGAGTGGGCTGCCATTTCCTTCTCCAGGGGATCTTCCCAACCCAGGGATTGAACCCAGATTTCCTGCATTGCAGACAGATGCTTTACCGTCTGATCCACCGGGGCAGCCAGGGGGACAATGCTAACTGTTAATTGCAACAATAGGTCTGAATGTCCTAAGTAGTGTCCATCACTGGGTTGTATGTCACACCGAAATCCAGAAGCAGGCATTTATCCAAACACCACACCAAAGGGATACACACTGTCTCTAGTTGCTGATGGGCCAGGATGTGTCTGTTCTTGATCCAGAATGATTGTTCAGATGGGTGCAGCACAGCCCAGGCTCCATCAGACTGACCTTGTGTTCCTGGGGTCCTTCCCACCACAAGAGAAAGATGGTGACGTGGTCTGAGTGTGTCACCAGCTGGCCTGGGTGCCAGCCGTGCTTCCTGGCTCCTCTGTGAGGCCATGTCCCCCACAGCATCTATGGAGCACCTTCTGTGTACCCTCCATAACCGTGCTTCCTAAAAGATATACAAGTCCCAGTTCTCAGAACCCAACAGAATGCACAGACAAAAACAAAGATGTGCTACAAGTGCTTCATCCTTCTGGTTGAAAACAAAGTCTACAATTTCATGCATGCTGCAACTGGGGGGTATTTCAGAGTGCCGAGGCCATCTCAGCATCTGTCATCCCATTGCAGCCTGGTGACCCCAGTGCTGAAAGGGGTCCCATTTTATACTAAGGACATGGAGGAACATTCCAGTCTTGCACAGCTTAACTGTTTGCCCCAAGCCATTCTGCTGACTTGTACAGACATACACACTGGGTACCAGCCCTCACCCCACCCCAGGCCGTTGGTCTTGGGCCCAGCATCCTTCCTTCATCCATAAGGGAGACAGTTAAGAAAGAAAGTCCCAGGGTCCCCTTGCAGCTGGAGGATTCCGTAGCCACCTCTACCTTCTCCACAGCCTCAGAGAGGTGTTTCTCCTCAGGACCCAGCAGTAAAGGGATTTCGCAGATTTGCCCACCAAGGATAGGGGTTTGGGGGGAGCCAGGCGTGGTCGGCCCCAGGGCGGGAGGCAGTGGGGCAGGGGCTCACTTGGTGGCTGTGGGCTTTCTCAGGGGCCAGCTGGTCCTGGGGATGGGCGTTCAGAGGGTCACAGGGTTCTCTCCTGCCCCCGGTGCTCCTGCAGTGCTGGTGGTGTGGCACGCTGATGCGCTGACCCTGTGGCCAGGACGGCCTGTGTCTCCCTGGAGCAGGGACCTCCAGGGTCTGAGCAGGCCCAGGCGTGGGAGCGGGCTGGGCCGGGCCATGCGCGCCCGAGGCTGGGTTCCAGCAGCCGCCGCACTTGTCCACAGGCAACCCCTGCAGCCCCAGTGAGGCTGAAAGCCACTGGAGGGAAGGGGGCGGGTAGGGGCATAGCATGCCCGTGCCAGGCGCGCCTCACCCATCACCTGATCCTCTTCAGCGCCGCCATGGAGCCTGCCCTTTCCAGAGAGGGAGGGGGCCCAGCGAGGGTCGGGAGAAGTTGGAAACCCTGGCAGGTGGGTCGTTTTCCAGTGACTGTCCTTTCTCGGCCTCTGCATGTCCAGAGGGGAGAACAGAACCCTGAGCGGCCGAGGGGAGGCTGTGAGCAGGAGCCTGCGGGGATAGGGAGCCGTGCCGGGGGCAGGTCCTCCCTGCTCCCCACAGCTGCGTGTCTTTGTGCGGGAGGGACAGAGTGCTCACGGGCAGTCAGATAGCGTGTAGATGTGTGCGCACCTGTGTTATCATACAGCTGGTCATGCTGGATGAAGGAAGCTGGAGGAGAAAGATCCTTCCATTTATGTAGTAGACAAATGCGCGAAACAGGCAGCTCTAAGGCGACTGTGAGAAGCCAGGAAGGTGGCTGCCCGCCCCTGGGGAGGGCCGGGAAGCGGCAGAGCGGCTGCCGGGTCCTGCCTCTTGGCCTGATGCTGGCTCCTCAGGCGGGCTCCCTTGAGGAGAGGCCCCAGGCAGCTCACCTTCGGTCTGTACCTGGCTGTCGTGCCTGTAAGCACTGCAACACGCAGTCCCGGCCTCTGCGTGTCTAACAGGGCAGGCTCGGACACAGCTGTGGACAGGTCCGTCCTGCAGGTGAGCAGGTTGGGAGGCCCATGCCCCAGCGCCCCCAGCTGGACAGGGGCAGCGCTGCAGTGCCCGTCGGACCCGTCCGCGTCCCCCCAGCCCCGTCCCCCTGCCCCAGTCCCGTCCCCCTGCCCCAGCCCCCGGCGCGCGCCATCATGCTGATGCGGCTTGGCTTGGATGTTCCACAGTATCGCGTCCCCCCAGCCCCGTCCCCCTGCCCCAGCCCCCGGCCCCCCCATCATGCTGATGCGGCTTGGCTTGGATGTTCCACAGTATCGCGTTTCTCCAGCCCCCGGGTGACGCCCCGCCTGAGCCGCAAGCGGGCGCTGTCCATCTCCCCGCTCTCAGACGCCAGCCTCGACCTCCAGCGCATGATCCGGACCTCGCCCAACTCGCTGGTGGCCTACATCAACAACTCCCGCAGCAGCTCGGCCGCCAGCGGCTCCTACGGACACCTGTCAGCCGGCGCCCTCAGGTGAGCCCGAGCTGGGGCCGGCAGTGGGAGCCGGGCAGGGACCCAGAGGGGAGGGTCTGCACAGGCCATCCCAGGAGAAAGACGCGACTTGGATTGCTTTTAGTTTGTTAAAGTGTAGTTGATTTACAGTGTTGTGTTAGTGTCTGCTACACAGCAAAATGATCCAGTTAAACACATATTCTTTTTCACATGCTTTTCCATGATGTTTTATCCCAGATATTGAATACAGTTCCCTGTGCTATCCAGTAGCACCTCATTGCTTATAGGACTTGCTGTATTTGTAAGTCAGCCGACTTGCGACTAGCCCATGTGTTCAAAACCAGTAGGGCTGATGTTGAAATGTGCCAACATTTGGGTACATCTTCATGAGCCTGTTTTTCACCCACCAAACAATTTCTGATGTGATTAGTTACCCTTACTGAGCCTGTTATGAAAGCTTCCATCATAAAGTCAAAGGCGACTTTCCTAATACTTCGGTGGGTGTCCCCGACCAGCACTGGGCCTACTGGAAGTACGATACTGACTTAGCCCTCACGTGTCTGAGCTAGCAGAAGCCCCCCTCCTGGGTCACAGCATGGCACACCCAGACCTCCTCAACACTGCCTACCCTGTCCCCTCTGGGCAGCCCTCGGCTGTTCAGAGAACTCAGACCCGAGCCAACCTGACTGAAGCCCACGTCCTTCCCATGGCCCTCCAGAAAGAGGGCAGGGGGGCAGATAGGAATGTCAGGAGAGCTCAGCCCAAGGACCAGGACAAGGCAGGATAACAATGCATCTGTTAGCTTTTGGTGCATGACAGAACAAACAGAAACCAAAAAAACACTTTGGTAGCAGTTTCAAACAACAATAAACTTTTACCATCTTGCAGCGTTTCTGATGGTTAGGAGTTTGAGACTGGCTTAGCCTCAGGTCTCAGGAGGTTGCAGTCAAGATGTCGGCCAGTGAGACTCACCTGCGTCTGGGCATCTGTTTCCAGGATGGCTCGCCCTTGGGGCTGTTGACTCAAGCTTGAGTTCCTCTTCACGGGAGCCCCCTCCCCCAACATGCTGCTTGAGCATCCTCGCAGCATGGCAGCCAGCTCCCCTTCCTCCAGCCCCCAGGGGAAGTGACCCCACAGAGGGCAAGGAGGAAGCCACAGCATCTTCTATGACTTAGCCTCCGAGGGTACCATTTCTCCCTTGATAGATCCTGTTCTGGAAAGAGTGGTTGGTTCATAGCCAGGTGGCCTGGTAGAGCTCAGGAGTGCAGTAGGAGTTCAAGAAAAGAGGAGGATGTGAGCAGAGGGCTCCGGATGCACTTCCTGGACGAAGGGGCATTAGAATGGACTTCAGAGGCCAAAATGAGTTCAAGTTGTCCAGGAGCATCAGGGATGCAGGGGTGCCTCTCAGGCATCAGAACAGCGAAGGGCCAGGATGTGGGGAGTGACTTGCCAGGGCAGAAAGCTGCATCCTGAGACCGCAGGCAGTGGGGAGCCACAGCTGGTGCTTGAGCGAGGTAAAGTCACAGTGATGGGGAGCAGTCAACAACTTGACCATCCTGATCTCTGGGCAGGGTCCTGTCTGCCCTGGTCGCGTGAGCCTCACAGAACCCTGCCCCCCACCCCACCCCACCCCAACCCCACTCCTTCACCTTGTCTGCCCTTCTCTGCAGCCCAGCCTTCACCTTCCCCCACCCCATCAACCCCGTGGCCTACCAGCAGATCCTGAGCCAGCAGCGGGGCCTGGGCTCGGCCTTTGGACACACGCCACCCCTGATCCAGCCCTCGCCCACCTTCCTGGCCCAGCAGCCAGTGGCCTTCACCTCCATCAACGCCACACCCCCCCAGCTCAGCAGCAGCAGCAACTGTCTGAGTGATGCCAATCAGGTAGGGGGGTGCAGGGAGCAGGGGGCCACCAGCTACTCCTATGAACCCAGGGAAGGCCGATCGTGGCCATCTCATGCCAAGAACTTGTGGAAGGACTCTGGGCACAGGCCTGGACGGCAGGATACCTCTGGGCAGAGACCACGTGGTCACATGGGCCTTGGGCTGGAGGCCCAGTCGGGGGACCCAGCCTGGGGCGTCACACTGCCCCCACTCCCTGTGGGCAGGTGCCCAGCCTCAGTTTCTTGGCCACCTTCTAATAAGACTAATGAGCAAATGGAGAAGCTCTAGGATTCAGAGTCAGGCGTCACACAGGGACTTCATACATAGCACGTAACATGGATGAAACAGATGGAGTCGTGGCTCATACCATGCAGCTTAGTTTTAGAGCATGGCAGCCGTTTTATTTCTTTCCCAGTGGTCCTTGGACAGGCCTGGGCCCACTCACACATGTAGTGCCATGAGCATTTGATGAATGAACGAGGCCCTGTTTTGCAGATGAGGAAATGTAACTGGTATCACGGAGACGGTATCAGACAGTAAGAAGGTCACAGGCCTCGAAATCAGATAGTGTTTTGAATCCTGATTTGCCCGAAAGCTCTTTCAGCCTGAGCTGACGCCCCTGCAGAGTAGGGCCTGTCACCTATATTAAGTCACTGTACCTGGGTCCACCTGGATCCTGGTTAGCACCCATGGTGACAGTTCTTGAGGTGAAGCACAGGCCACTCAGTTTAGGAGCAGCTCTTTTCAAGAAAGTTCTCCCCAGGGCTCCAGCCAGCCACCCAGCACCTCCCCCAGATGGTGGCTGTCGGCTTTTGTCACATCCCCTGACACTTGAACTGTGGTGCTGGAGAAGACTCTTGAGAGTCCCTTGGACAGACAGAAGATCAAACCAGTAAATCCTAAAGCAAATCAACCCTGAATATTCATTGGAAGGACTGATGCTGAAGCTGAAACTCCAATACGTCAGCCACCTGATGTGAAGAACTGACTCACTGGAAGACCCTGATGCTGGGAGGGATTGAGGGCAGGGGGATAAGGGGATGACAGAGGATGAGATGGCTGGATGGCATCACCAACTCAATGGACATGAGTTTGAGCAAACTCCAGGAGATGGTATAAGACTGGGAGGCCTGGCGTCCTGCAGTCCATGGGGTCACAAAGAGTCAGACACTACTAAGCAATTGAATAGCTGACACTGTAGCTCTAACCTGCCTGTCCCAAGGGACCACGTTCTTCTGTCCTGCTCCCCGAGTGGCCAGGCCCTATCGTCCTCAAACCCAAGTTGCCCCTGACTCCGAGGGCTGAGAAGTTGAGGCCACTGAGTCAGGAGTGGGGGTCCCCAGCATTTCTCAAAGAGAGGGTCTCCTGCTCCATCTCTGTGGGGTGGGGGCTACATAGTGGGATGGGGGGCACTGATGGGCCAAGCTGGGCTCTCTTGGCCGTACCCCTGGCCTGAGAACCAAGCTGAGGTTGGAGGAGGGAGTGTTTCTGTAACTGCAGTCACAAATGTTGACATAGATGGTCTGTGTGCAGAAGGTCCCAGAGGTAAAACCCCAGGAAAACTTGGGAGGTCCTGCCCGCGTGTGATGGGTCCCTCTGTGCTCCCTTCTTTCAGAATAAGCAGAGCAGTGAGTCGGCCGTGAGCAGCACCGTCAACCCCATCATCATTCACAAGCGCAGCAAGGTCAAAACTGAGGCTGACGGCCTGCGGCCAGCCTCCCCACTGACCCTAACACAGGTAACCTGTCAGCTGTCCTCGGGCCGGGGCCCGGCTCATCCCTTCGGGGCCGTGACCCTATTGGGAATGGGTGATGGACGGCTTGCATGAATGAATGAGTAAATGAATGACTCATGAGGGCACACTGCGAGTTCAAGGAGGGCTGGAGCTGTGTCCCTGCTCCCTGCACCCCATGTGCTCAGGAGGCAGGGATGCTGGGTCTGCAGCACAAGCCCCAGGTAAAACTGCGCCTGAACGGCTCAGGCCCATCCTCACTCCCTCTCCCTGGAAATCCGTCCCCCACCTTATCTCCTGGACAGTAGGAGTCACATCCACCCAGAGGCTCCCCCCGCCCTGCCCCGCCCTGCCAGCTTCTGGGTCACTTTGTCTCCTGCGCTGCACAGTCAGCTTTAGAGAGGTCGCGCTTTAGGAACAGTGCCTGGTTTGGCTCTGGGCCCCCGGGTTTGCACACGGCCTGGTGGGCAGTAGCTGGGAGGTAAGGTTTTCTAAGGACTCAGTGCCGAGCTGAGGGAGTGAGTGTTCCAGGGTGCAGGAGGGGAGAGCAGACAGGTCCTGGTGGGAAGGAGAGGAACAGAGCTGCCTGAGGCCCACAGTGGACCTCTGAGGTCCCTGGAGATCCTGCCACTTGTTCCAACACCAGGCTGGCAGGCATGCAGCCCCAGCTCCTGGGCAGGTCAGCGTGCGGACTGAGCCCCGGAGCCGCCTCTCACGGTACCTCCACCCATTACTGCAGAATCAGCAGCTGTGACACCAAGTGACCTGGGGGCCTCTGGTCCCCATCTCCCCTACATCTGCCGGACCATCCTTTATCAAACCTGTAAGCCATCGGGCATGCTCCGGGCACTTAATTTTTATGAAATATTAGGTTCTGTTATTGTCAGGCAAACACAGGGGTTGCTGACAAATTCTCCTCCCTTCACTGACGCCAAAGCATCTCCGCGTGATGCATGGTCTCCACGCGGCTGGCCATCATCAGGGGCCGTTGAAATTGATGAGGACAGCATGCATCCAGGGGAGATAAATGCGCTGGAGCTACGGGGACAGGACTGCAGGGCATCGGGGGTCGGCGCAGGCAAGGGCGCTCAGCCCCGGGGAGCCTGCTGCCCTTCCTCACTCAACCTGGCGTCGGGGGGTGGGGTGGGGGATGGCGCAGAGCGCCCTCCCTCCTGCCCGGCTCGGCTCCCACCTCGTGTCAGGAAAGGACAGGTGTTTATCACCAGGAGGCCGTCACCGTGTGACTCAGGGCCCTGATTCAGTGGCCTGACTCGTTTGCTCCCTGACTCACTTGCAAGGCAGACGGGCTCTTTCTCTTGGCAGAACAGAACAAGTCCCTCCCCAGCTTCAGCCCTCAGACTCCTGGGCTAGGATGCCGCCCCGCTGAATCTGGAGGTCTGGCCCCTGCTCAGGTCCTCTGCTCAGGCCCACCTGGCAGCCTTTTCACACCTTTTCTGAAATAAGCAGATCAGGCAGCTTGAGGAGTTATAAGGTTATCTCCAGTTTTTCTGGAAGTGCAGAGGCGTTCTGAGGCCCCTCCCATTGCTAGGCATTCTGGACAGAAGGTTCCTGCCCCTCCTTTTAAGGTGGGCTGAGTGCTGCTGCCTGGGGACTTACTGAACAACATGTCATCATTTTCCAGAACGCAAACATTGATTGTAAGGTGCTCTGGGAAATGACACCTAAAACCCGCCTCTTGGAGGAGGCCTTGAAGCATTTTGGAAAGCCGGTCCTGGGTGCGAGTCCGCATCAGCCGTGGGAGGGTCACGGGGCTGGTTTCTGCCCCAAGAAATGCACTCAGCTTTGGAGGGAGGCTGAGGTGTGGGTTGCAGCCTCCGATTCATTGAATCTCTGGAGCCTGCGGGGGCTGGGGTGCCTGGCTGTGGAGGGGGAGGTTATCAGTCCCCGCACTCAGCCTGAGCTATGAATGCTTTCCCTGGAGGCTCTTTTGAAAAACAGAACATTCCTGCCATTTTGGAAATAGTTTGCAAGTAAAACAGGTCCCCTAACCTCTGCCCCTTTGCCTGGCTTTGCCCGGAGCCTGCCCCGTAGGCCTGGGGGTCCTGGGGGGCCTCGGCCTGCTCTGGGGGCCTCACCAGGCCTGCCTCCCAACCTGGCTGTCTGTGCCTCTCCCCAAGCCCTCTCCTGGAACCACTCAGATTGTGCCGGGCTCCCGGCTTTGAGGCTGCCCCCCGCCCCACGAGCTCTGTTAGCATCGGCTGGGACGGGGGTGGCCCTGCGGGGTTTACTCTCAGCCTGCGGCCGCTTTGGCAGGAAAAAGCTTTGTCCTCTTTGAAACACGTTTTGGTGCTTGTAATCAGTGGAAGGCGCACCTTAGGGGCCTCTCTTTCCCCCTGAAATGGGCACATGTGGGCTCCAGCGTGGCCAGAAACATGAACCCAGACCTAGGTAAGACAAATGCACTGTGTTGTGGAGGGAACGGTCAGCCTCCGCTTGCATGTTAGGGTGCCTGGCTGTGGCTACAGCATACAAACACCCACATTTTAGGCCTGTTGCAGGGAAGCCGATGCTGGGAGAGTACTCTGGTTGCCATGGATGACCCTGGGAGGAGGGGAAAGTACAAGGATAAGGCCAGGCCAATGTGTGTGGAGTTTCCTTTTGCCTCCAAACAAGAGCCAGCCCTGTTCATATACATGCTGTGAACACAAATGCCCCATCCCAGCCTGTGGGGCCCACCCCAGCTCTCCCTGGGGGAGACCATATCTGATAAGCAAAAGTTCACTTGTCCTGTTCTCGTAGCCATGTCCACTGGACCCAGGATGTGATGGGACACCTGCGTGATGACAAGTCAGCATATGTGCATGCTTGTGTGTGCAGGCGTGTGATGTGTATGTAAGCGCAGGTGTGGCTCCACCAAGACCAGCCCATGGGTCCTTGGCATAGCCCTCACGGGGCTGACAGTGACCTTTCCCCGGGACTGGCTGGCTGCCCAAGGCTCACGTGGGTGTGCTCTGCCCCACTCTCCCAGGAGCAGCTGGCTGACCTCAAGGAGGACCTGGAGCGAGACGACTGCAAGCAGGAGGCTGAGGTGGTCATCTATGAGACCAACTGCCATTGGGAGGACTGCGCCAAGGAGTATGGCACCCAGGAGCAGCTGGTGCACGTAAGCCCCAGAGCAGCCTCACGGAGCCTCCAGCTCCTCCGCAGAGAGCACGGGCTCCCAGAGGCGCCGGGTCCGCCCCCTGGGCAAGGGGGGTTGTGACTACTTACCAGAGCCTTACTTATGTCTAAAATGGGGCTTATAAGTACATATGTAGTCCAAGAGATGAAAAAAATAAGGAGAAAGTTAGAAGGAAAAGGAGCAATAAAATAAAGCCCCGAATAAAGTTAGTTAAAAACCAAGTATTCTGAGCTAGAGGTCACATACACATCTCATTTTTTTTTAAGCTTTCTGGCAGGCAGTGCAAAGAGGGGAACAGGATTGGTTAAGTCAGCCAGTCCCCACAAGATAATAACAAACCTATCACTGAAATCGGAAAGAAGTTTCTCCCATGGAGGAAGGAATTGGTCATTTCCTCTTGGAGACCATGCACAGATTCTCAGTGTCCATGGGTGCAGTTAAATGTATACGCCCATACAAGGACTGAGCTGCTTAAAAATGCCTAGTACTGACAGATCAGGAGACCAGAGAAGATCATGAGAACTGGGTGTGCTCTTCAGGGTCTGCCTCGAAACTCCCTACAGCTGCAGCCACTGCGGGCTAACTTGTGCAGTGGGAAAAGCAGGGGCGGGGGCTTAAGGCAGGAGGTGCCTGGCCTCCTACCTGACCCCACCACAGCTAGCCAGGCTGTTCTGAACAAGTGACTGCACCTCTGGGAGCCTCAGGTTTTCCCCCCTGTAAGTAGAGGTGGAGCCCACCCTACGGAGGGTTGAAGGCTGCCTATGACACCTGCATAAACACTTAGCAGAGGGCAACCCTCCAAGCACAGAAGGTCTCCTAGCTCTCCATCCCTGTTCCCCACACCAGCCGAGTGTTCTCCTCTGCATCTAGAAAAGAACTTTAAGTCAAGAATAAGTCTCCCCAAGTCCCAACACACACACACTTTAGTGAGTGAGTGTCTATAAAGATGAACCTACACTAAGCTGACAGCTCAACGGCTGGGTAAATACACAAGACCACACACACACACACACACACACACAGTGGTCACACCTACAGGCCATCCCACATGAGTTACCTCCTCCCCAGGTCTGTGAAATCAACATTTAAGACACTACCCACTCCCCCTGCTTACTTTTGTCATGAGCTCGCACTCAAAGACTGTAGGTTTCTTTTGCATTGGGGTTTTTCTCCCCAGATTCTCAGCCAGGGGACTGGAGTTTCTTAGCAATCCATTGCTGCTGATGTTGAACCTTTAAAGCAGGGTCTTATCTAACCCCTCCGGGACTCGAAGATAACTTTTCAGCCTGTGCCACCTCTTTGGGTTAAACAAGTCTTGAGGTGGAGTCTGGGCCACGGGAGCTGTGAGCTTTAAGCCGATAAGATGAAGGGAGGAGAAAGAGAAGATCTGAGGTGGGGAGAGGGCCCAAGCAGAGGGGTGGAGTCAAAGTGAAAGTCGCTCAGTCGCGTCCGACTCTTTGCGACCCAGTGGACTATACAGTCCATGGAATTCTCCAGGCCAGAGTACTGGAGTGGGAAGCCATTCCCTTCTCCGAGGGATCTTCCCAACCCAGGGATGGAACCCAGGTCTCCCGCATTGCAGGCAGACTCTTCACCACCTGAGCCACCACGGAAGCCCAGCGGAGTGGAGGGGAGGATGTAAAAGATGCTCTAGCAAGGACTGAGCCGGCTCCAACGAGCAGGGAGGGGATTCCTCATGGAAAGGCAGACAGTCCAGAAGTGGGAAGCAGGGCTCCAGCTGCAGGCTCCTACCTGGGCCCAGGGCTGTCACTGGGGCTGTAGGTGACCACCTGCGTCTGCCCGTGGAAGGAGCAGGGTCCCATGAGGAGGGCAGCCTGCTCTGCCCAGCTCCATCTCTCTCTGCCCCCTGAAAAGATGGATGGCCCAGGCACACACATAAGCTAGAGCCCCTAGTCAATTATTAACAATTTGTTGCTAAATAAACCAATAAGAAAAAAATGAAAGGCATTGTCAGGAAGCATTTTGATCATTTGAAAAGCTTTCAGAATGGAAAGTGAGGCTAATATGGAAAGATTTCCCTGGAAGTTCAAAGCGCTGTAGATTTTGCTTATCTCGGTGTCAGCATTTGTATGCATAACAGTCTGGCTTGTCACCTAGGGCAGAAGGGCCCAGCGGTTTTCTGTCTTACCAGGAGAGAGGCTGCCCATGTCCACATGCTCAGTTCTGGGCAGCCTTGTAGGCTGCAAAGATCTACAGCAGCGCAGTCCAAGAGAAAGACACTGCCAGCCCCAATGCCAGGCACACATAATAATCTTACATTAGCTAGGAGCACATTTAAAAAGAGGGAAAGGAGACAGGTAAAATCAATTGGAATCATATAGTTTGTTTAACCCAATATATCTAAAATACTATCCTTCCTGCATGCAATCAATATAAAACAAACTTTCTGAGCAATTTCACATCCTTTTTTTTTCATTCTCAGTCTGTGAAACAGGTATGTGGCTTACACTTCCAGCCCTCCCTGGTTGGGACCTTTCAGGGTTTCAACAGCCACAAGTGGAAAATGGCTACGACCTAGGCCAATGCAGGTCCAGAGGTGGGGGGAGGAAGTGGAAGCTGGGGGAGGGAATGGGGACCAAGAGAACAAAGAGGATGGGGATGGAAGGGGCACTGGGCCCCGCCTCCTAGCTCCTCGGGGACCTAAAGCTACAGGTAGGACACAGATAGGGCCTCAAGAGACTTCCTGGTGACTGTCAGAGAGAACCCCCAGTGGAGAGGACCAGTATACTTTGTCATTCTGCTGTGTGAGTGACAAATGCCAGTTACCATCCCCAGTTAAATGGGCAGCCTGAAAGTTCAAGGCCATATAGGTCCCAAGGCCCTACCCAAGTAGCCACGTGTTCCCAGCTCAGAAGTGGTAACAGCCCTGCTCCCATGAGGACAGCAGGCTTCAGTTACATCATCAAAGCAAACAACTGGAAACCAAATGTCTACCGAGAGTGGTTTGTCCTGTTGCCTGTATCAGAAAACCTCCATGGCCCATTGCTCCCCATCATCGGAGAAACTGCCAAGCAGGGGGACAGGTGATGGGCCCAGGGCGCTGCTGGTTGGGGTGGGTCTGAGGCCTACCTGTCCAGGGAAGGTTGAGTGGCCATGCGCTTCCCTGCCTTGCCCAGAATGGCCCCACCTGAGGGGCAGGGCCACCCCACTCACCCACCAGCCCCCACCCTGCCCCTGCAGAGTGAGCTGGATGTCTTGGGCTGTCCCGCCTTGCTTTCTGGGCATGTTATCCCTGGGACAGCACTACACAGTGCCCAGGGGATGCTGTCAGTCAGACTGTAGCTCTGTCCTAGGCAAGCCACTTTTAACAATCTGGGCTTTTGTGAAAAGAAGACAAAGCTAACATCTCACGGGTCACTATCAAAAAGAAGAGGATGCATTTATGTTTCTGTTGTAATAAAAATGTTAGCGAACTTCCTGACAGTCCAGTGGTTAGGACTTGGCAGTTTCACTGCCAGCATCCTGGGTTCAATCCCTGGTCAGGGGACTGAGACCCCACAAGCTGTGGGGCCTTAAAAGAAAAAAAAATTGTTATTTAAAACTTTCTGGAGCCATAGGGGCAGTCTTGGGAGAGGCTGCTCATGTACCCACTGTGAGCAGGTCTGCCTCAATGCAGCTAATAAATGCCTGCTGTTTGCAGCCTGGAAGCGTCATCATATGAAGTTTTCCATAGACTAGAGCCCAGCCCAGACTGTGATGAGTGGGGGCGGCTCTGACCATCATGGATGGTCGTTTTAATGACTAATGAGAAAAAGCAGCTGAGATAACTCACGAGGAGGCGTGGCCGGCATGTGGGTGCTGGTCCGTGTGGTGGGTGGTCTGCACAGACCAGGTGAGGTCTGGAGGGGTGGGTGGCTGGGCTCATCCCACTCGTGGGCTTGTTCCTGACAGCACATTAACAACGAGCACATCCACGGGGAGAAGAAGGAGTTCGTGTGCCGCTGGCAGGCCTGCACGCGTGAGCAGAAGCCCTTCAAGGCGCAGTACATGCTGGTGGTGCACATGCGCAGACACACGGGCGAGAAGCCACACAAGTGCACAGTGAGTGGCCCGGGCTGGCCCACCGGCCAGGTGACGTGGGGCAGGGTGGACATCGCTGACCACGGAAGGACCCGGTGGAGCAGCTTTGGAACAGTGGGACAAGATTGTCAATGGGCCTCCTGTCTGCTCCTGCCTGGTCTGGGGGCCTAGGGGCCCCTCGTTCTGTTTGCGGCCCCATTCGCTTGCTTACTCTCCCTGAGGCGCGTGTGCATCCAGGCACCTGCGGGGGAGGTGCGCTGGTGTCTCTGTGACCAGGAGCCCCAAAGCTATGCCCCGCTCAGCGGCTGGCCTGCAGCCTGTCCTCTGCACAGAGAAGAGTTTCACTGGAGAGTCACAGGTTGAGTGATGATGGTTTAAAAGTCACTTTGGCCGACTTAAAAAAAAAAATGTGAACACAATTATAAGGCCTTTTGGACAATCTCTCTTATGGAGTCAACAGGATTTGTGACTATTTGGTGAGACCTTTATTTAACATGGAGGAGCCTGGTAGGCTGCAGTCCATGGGGTTGCGAAGAGTCAGACATGACTGAGCGACTTCACTTTCACTTTTCACTTTCATGCATTGGAGAAGGAAATGGCAACCCACTCCAGTGTTCTTGCCTGGAGAATCCCAGGGATGGGGTCGCCCAGGGATGGGGTCGCACAGAGTCGGACACGACTGAAGTGACTTAGCAGTAGCAGCAGTTATTTAACACACAGGAATTTCTCCCTCTTTCAAAGGAGCAGGCCATTTTTATATCTTCTTTGAGGAAGACTCTATTCTAATATTTTGTCTGTATTTAAATTATTTGTCTTTTTGTTGTTGAATTGTAGTAGTTTTACTAGAGTCTAATTGGATATATGATTTACAGGTATTTTCTATACTATTCTATAGATATGCTATTTATGTTCTATAAAACCTATTCTGTAGGTTTTCTTTGGATTTTCTTCATAGCTTCCTTCGAAGGATAGAAGTTTTTGATGTTCAGAGAGTTTGTTTTATTGATATTGCTTGTGCTTTGGGTATCATATCTAATAAACTACTGCCAAATGCAAGGTCACAAAGATTTATCCCTGTTTTCTACTGGGAGTTTTATGGTTTATATGTATGTAGTTTTATTTATATGAACATATAAATATATACACATATATTTTTAATAGTGTAGCTCTTCCATTTAGGTCTTTAACCCATATTCATTTACTTTGTATATGGTGTGAAGTAAGGATCCAGTGTCATTCTTTTGCATGGTGTTACAGAGTTGCCCCACCCCATTTGTTGAAGAGACTGCTCTTTCCCCATCCAATGGTCTTGGATCCTTGTTGAAACCTAACTGACCCCAAATGTGTGAGTTTCTTTGTAAACTATCAGTTCTCTTCCATTGATTGCTACATCTGTCCTTATGCCAGCACCTCACATGGCCTTTTTTAATTGAAGAATGGTTGATTTATAGCATTAGGTTTATTTCTGCTGTATAGCACAGTGACTCAGTTATACACACACACACACACATATATATATTCTTTTTTATATTCTTTTCCATTATGATTTATCTTAGGAGATCAGATATAGTTCCCTGTGCTATACATTTGCTTGATTACTATAGTTTTGTTGTAAGTTTTGAAATTGGGAAGTGTCGGTCTTCCAAATTTGCCCTTCTTTTGCAAAATTATTTTTGCTTTTCTGAGTCCTTTGCAGAAGTTGTTTTCTTAAGATCCTGAGTGGTAGCAAACCATAGCCCTCCGACATGAGCTGTGAGCTGCAGAAACGGAAGGCCTTGGAGCCAAGTGTGCTCAGCCACACTGGTCAGGAATGAAGGGGTGGATGGGAGGGATGAAAGTTCCTGCTGGGGTTTATGTGTCATTCTGGGGGCAGTTTTCACAGCTACACTGGATGCAGTTGCAGTATCTTTGGAGTAGGTAACTCTTGCAATGATCCTTCCCTCCCTCCCTTCCTGCCCCTCTCTCTGGCTCCCTCTTCCTTTCCTAAAATGTTTCTTGAGTGCCAAAAATGTTTCTCTTTGCCAGGCAAGATTCCTCAGAACATAGAAATGAATAGGACCTAGAAGGTATCTGCTCTCAGGGAGCTTGTATCCTTGTGGGAAGGCCAGATAACAAAACGATTAAGATAATTATAAACTGCATTAGGCAGTATAAAGAAAAAAGGGTGTTATTATAATTGAGAAAATCAAAGAATTGCTCTAGGAGGAGTTGACCCCAAAGACTGAGAAGGGGGTGGGCTGGGCCAAGGCCAGGGTGAGTGGGGACAGGAAAAAGCTTCCAGCCAGAGAGGACGGTGTGTGCAAGGCCCCTCACGCAGAAGAACTTAGTAGGGTCAAGGACTAAAAAGGAGAGAGACATGGCCTGAGCCAGGGTCAAGGTGACCTGCTCCCTCAGCAATGTGGGGGACACTGGATTTTATTCTTGGCACATTTTAATGCATAAGAAAGTTCTAATCAGGGAGGGGCATCAGGAAACTGTTGAAAATGATATTTACTGAGTTTTTAATCATATGGAAAGAGTCTTATAATGTGCTGTTGATTTTAACAAGCAGAATAAGCAGCTGAATGCTCGAGATGTTCTAGTTCAGGTTTTTAAAATGTGAGGGGATGACCTGCAGGGTCCCAGAATGAGACTTGCCTGGAGGTCAGCAGTGCCCGTCCTGGGCCATGGAAGGTTTCATTTGCCTCCTTGCACTCTTCAGTCTTCAAGTTTTCGAGATGCGTCATTTACGTGATCAGGAGGGAAGGGAGATGTTGAGAGCCACGCTCCTGGCTGAACCTGTGGGGCAGAGCGGACTCCGGGGCTGGGAGGCAGCAGTGGACCAGCCCGCAGGCGGGGCTCCCCGCACTGTATCTGGGACTCACTGTGTCTGCCCTCACTGACCAAACCCTTCTGTTCCCAGTTCGAGGGCTGCTCAAAGGCCTATTCCCGCCTGGAGAACCTGAAGACTCACCTGCGCTCCCACACCGGGGAGAAGCCATACGTGTGTGAACACGAGGGCTGCAACAAAGCCTTCTCCAATGCCTCAGACCGCGCCAAGCACCAGAACCGCACCCACTCCAACGAGGTACCCGTCTGGGGCCCCAGCATTGTCACCCTCACCCCATGGCCATTGGGTAGCCTGCAGATGTCACTCCCTGCCACCCCCTGCCGTGGGGGCCCAGCACACAGCCGCAGCCCCTGTCCCCACAGTCCAACAGCTGCTGATGCACGCTCCAGCTCCTGGTGCTGCCTGGCCTGCAGTGGCTGGCACCCTCCCTTCCGTGGGGCCCAGAGCCCCCAGCAGAGCTGAGGGAGCCCGTGGTGTGGGCTGTACCTGCCTCCCAGTCTCTCCTTGGGTCAACCACCGTCACTCAGGTAGACTCACGAAAGGGTGTCTCTAAAAGGTTAGGTACATTTTGAACCCCAAAGGGACTTGCTTTGATAAGAAGTCAGAGGAATTCTCAAAAGTATCAACTCAAGACTGTCTAAAGACAAGAGATAGCTTGAAAAGGTGTGTGTGTTTGCATGTATGTGTGCGCCTGTGTGCATGTGGTTGTATGTATTATGTGGGGAGGAGGTATGTATATGTATTTGTAAGTATGTGTACACATGTGGGTGTTTATATACATGTTCAAGTGTGTGTGTGTGTGTGTGTGTGTGTGTGTGTGGATGTGCATACCTGTGTGTACATGTCTGTGTCTATACATGTAGACAAGAGTCTGTTTATATGTGGATGTCGTGTGGGATGTGTGTGGGGGCGTTGTGTATGTGTGTGTGTGTGAGCTCAGGACTGCGCGTCAGAAACCCCGGGTTTTCATCCCACTCCTGGGTGACTTGGAGCCAGTGTCCTTGCCTCTCTGAACCTCTTTCCTCATGAGAGAGAGGAGGGTGTTCAGCGCTCTCTCACTGACGTGTAAGGAGGTGATACACTCACTGATACTAAAAATCCCGACATGCCGATGGCTAAGCTGATCACGCCAGGCACTGTGTTCCTTCCCTCCACAGGCTCTGATCCGTGTCTCCAGTCTGGGGAGGTGGGGCTGAGGGTCTCGTTAACCACATGCTTACCTTCAAGAAAAGGTGGCAGGCGAGCCCGGTGGAGTGTGGCTCCATCGAGGGGTCCAGCGCCTCCCGACAAGGACGCCGCCAGCTCTGCGGAAGGACCGGCAACATGACGACGCGCAGGGCTCCCCTGCGTAGTCTGCCTTCCTGCCTCGTGCGTGACGCCTCTTCTCTTCCCAGAAACCCTACATCTGCAAGATTCCAGGCTGCACCAAGCGGTACACAGACCCCAGCTCCCTCCGGAAGCACGTGAAGACGGTGCACGGCCCAGACGCTCACGTCACCAAGAAGCAGCGCAACGATGTGCACCTCCGCGCCCCCCTGCTCCGGGAGAATGGGGACAGCGAGGCCGGCGCCGAGCCCGGCCGGGGCTCCGAGGACAACGCCGAGGCCAGCAGCACTAGCCAGGCCGTGGAGGACGGCTTACACGTCAAGGCCATCAAGACCGAGCGCTCCGGGGTAAGCCGACTGGGAGGCAGAGGCCCGGTCCACGCCCTGCCCCAGGAGGCCATGCCCCGCGGCAGGAGAGTGATGCCATCTGCCCGCCCCCACCCCCCCGGAAGCACAAGGATGTCCCTCCTCTCTCCAGCCCAGTATCCCTCCCTTCACCACCTCGGGCCCCCACTGAACCTGTCTTGAGCCAAGTGGGTCCCATTCTGCTGGGCTGACCGTGGGGAACAGGATGCCTGCCCCGACTCGGTCAGTCTGCAGGGGGCGGGTGGTTCCCGGTGGCTGACTTTCCCACCGGCCCCCCGGGCTCCGCAGCCGCCCCCCACCCTTCTGTCCTGTCTCTGCGTCCTTGCCCTTCTGGCCTGCACCCCTTTTGTTCTAACCACCTGTTCTTTGTCTCCGCCTCTTTCTCCTGACTGTACCTCCCCTAAGGATAGACGGTACTGAGGTGAGCAAGGAGCTGGGTGGGGCTGGGGGAGGGCTGGCATGAGTCAGGGCGGCTGGGGTGCTTGTCCAGGCTCCTCAAGGGCCAGGAAGGCAGCTTTGGTTAGGTAGGCAGCAGGTGCTGCAAGTGGGGCCGTCAGAACAGGTCATAGCTGGCAGCAGGGTTCAAGGGTGCTGTCACAGGAGGAAGCCGTGGGGTCCAAGCCTGCACGAGGATCAGGGCAGAGTGCAGGTGCAAATCCAGGCTGCAGAGGAGGGGAGGACAGACCTCCAGAAGGTCTTGAGTCCCGAGGTGAGGAAGGTGGGCAATGCCATGGGCAGGTGAAAGCACTGCAGCTTCCCTGGAGAGGCCTGGAATGTGGGACCTTCAGGCCAGGAGTGAGCCTGAGATGCTTCATCCCAGGTGAGCCTTATTTGGGCTCAGATGCCAGGTCCCAGTGAAGGTTGCCCACGTTCTGTGAAGTTCAGCACTGTACCCGTTTGCCTTGATTCAGAGGGAGTGCTGGTTTGGGGAGGGTGATGGCAAAGGCTGCATCCAGCAGCTACAACCCCTGCAGACAAACTCCCTTTCTAACGACCCGTCTCCAGCCTTTTGGGCAGGCAGCAGGTCAGCAGGCCTCCACTCTTCCTTGCTTCCTCCAGCAGCCCATCACTGCTGTCAGGATGCTTAAGTCTCCTCTTTTTGTGTTAATTTCACACGGCTGCAGCAGCCTCTGTGGGGCTCAGCTTCCAAGTGTCTTGAAAGCTGAAAGCTCTTCAAGCAGAGTTCCGGCCCAGACACTGGCTGGAAGAGCTTAGGAGCACAGCAGGGAGGCTGTGTGGGGGGAGAGGGGCTGTTGGTGGGAGCCTGACGATTACCTGATGCCTTCTGCTTGCCGGGTTGTCTCCATCTATCCATTGACTCTCTTCAGGGGGCAGCTCAGGTCCAGCTTATCTTTGGGGAAGCCGAGGTTCAGAGAAGTAATGCTTTGAAAGCTCCTCCATGCAGCGGCTTCCTTCTCGCCCCCCCGCCCCCACCTCCCCAGGTGTGCAGGAGTGATGTGTTGGGTGGCAGGGCCCGTGGCTTCTTGCACCCTCTGAGTCGGTGCCTTCTTATCACGCCCCCTGCAGCTGTGTCAGTCCAGCCCCGGAGCCCAGTCTTCCTGTAGCAGCGAACCCTCTCCCCTGGGCAGTGCCCCCAACAATGACAGCGGCGTGGAGATGCCGGGGACAGGGCCTGGGAGCCTGGCAGACCTGAGAGCTCTGGAGGACCCGCCGCCAGGGGCTGACTCCTCTGCCCTGGCCGCCCCCTCTGCTGGTGGCCTGCAGCTGCGCAAACACATGACCGCTATGCACCGGTTCGAGCAGCTCAAGAAGGAGAAACTCAAGTCACTGAAGGATTCCTGCTCATGGGCCGGGCCAGCTCCGCACACCCGGACCTCCAAGCTGCCTCCCCTCCCAGGAAGTGGTAAGTGGAGGCCCCAGATGCGCTGGTAGGGTGGGAGGGAACCCAGGGCAGCACAGTGTGATTCACACCCACCAAACACCATGTGCTCTTGAGAAGATAGATCTTATGAACCCATTGCACAATTTTGGAAATTGAGGTTCAGAGAGGTGAAAGTGCTTTGCCCAGATTACTGGCAGAGCTGAGACTTAGCTCAGGCGTGAGTGACTCCAAAGCTGATGCTCTTCCAACTACACCATGCTGCATCCCCATAACTCCTCAAAAAACTCAGCTCCCATCATCCTGTACCTCATGATCCATTCACTTGTCTATCAGGCACCTGCCATAGATACCATAGCAAAGACCCTGGGCAGGACAGTGAGATTTCCAGTCCCTATGGTGAAAGGCCATGCCAGCAGATGCAGGATGAGCCAAGTAGCACCAAGGACAGAGCTCAGGGTAGTGAGAGAAAGCAGGGCAGCTGGGGAAGAGCTGGGAGGACTTCCTGGAGGAGGCGGCCCTGTCCTCAGCCTCGGGAAGTTAACCAGGCTTTGAGATGGACGATGTCCTCACTGAGCATTTCCTGAGTGTCGACTCTGCTGAGCAGTGTGCTGGGCACCAGCCACCCTGGGGTGCTGAGCCTCTAGGCTGCCCTTCAGGGACTGATGGCCCGTGTGGTAGGACTGGGTTATAGAGGGGTGATACTGAGAGGCTCTCCCTTGAAGGGAGGATTGTTGCCCCAGCTGTTGGAGGAGCTGCCAGCAGATGGCCTTCAATTCCCAGGCTCCTCCAGAGATTGCCTGGGGTGCTGACAGCTGCCTCACCCAAGGTCACCCCTTCCCAGGGTGGCCCACATCCAGGGACAGATCAGGGATGGAGAGGCCGCTCAAGGCCCAGAGCTGTCCGTGAGATGAGCCGCAGCTGTCGCGGGTCCAGTGTTGCAGCTGTCTTCTCCCGGCCCACTCTGCAGCCTCTCTGCCCTCCCATGGCCCTGGCCCCCAGAACACTCTCTATAAACAGCCTGCTGGGTAAACAGCCCCAGGGGAGCCCAGCTGGCAACACCCATCCATGGATGAAGAGGGTGCAGGGAGGCTGTGTTCAGGGCCCTCCTGGGCTCTTTTCCGTCTCCCAGTGCTCCCCAGGGAGACATGCCACCCACAGCTGGAGGCCGAGAATGGGGCGGAATGAGGGCACAGGGCCTGCCAGCACAGTAGACTGGGATCAAGCGTCCTAACTTCCGCTTGTGCCCTGGCAGTAAGTGCCACCATTCGCTCCCGATTGTCCCTTTCTTCCTTTTGTTGAGAAATCATTGACTGGGTGCCAGACCCCATTCCAGGGCTCCAGGCCCAGCAAGCTCAGCGCCCTCCAGGCAGTCAAAGCATCGCCTTTTGTGCCCCATCCCCAACGCTGATCGCAGTCCTCTCCCACAGGCTCCGCGCTGGAAAACTTCAGCGGCGGCGGTGGCGGCGGGCCCGCGGGGCTGCTGCCCAACCCGCGGCTGTCTGAGCTGTTCCCGGGCGAGGTGACGGTGCTGAGCCACCTGCAGGAACGCCGGGACAGCTCCACCAGCACAGTCAGCTCGGCCTACACCGTGAGCCGCCGCTCCTCCGGCATCTCCCCCTACTTCTCTAGCCGCCGCTCCAGCGAGGCCTCGCCGCTGGGCGCCGGCCGCGCGCACCCTGCCAGCTCCGCCGATTCCTACGACCCCATCTCCACCGACGCATCGCGGCGCTCGAGCGAGGCCAGTCAGTGCGGCGGCGGCCCGGGGCTTCTCCAGCTCACGCCCGCCCAGCAGTACAGCCTGCGGGCCAAGTACGCGGCAGCCACAGGTGGGCCGCCCCCCACCCCGCTGCCCGGCCTGGAGCGCACGAGCCTGCGGGCCCGGCTGGCGCTGCTGGATGCGCCCGAGCGCGCGCTGCCCGCTGCCTGCCTGCGCCCCGTCGGGCCTCGGCGGGGCAGCGACGGGCCACACTACGGGCCCACGGGGCCGATGCCCGCTTTCCCCCACGAGGCGCCAGGCGGCGGGGCGCGGCGGGCCAGCGATCCCGGGAGGCGGCCTGACGCCCTGGCGGCCCCGCGGGTGCAGCGCTTCCACAGCGCCCTCGACGTGACCCCAGGCACGCTACCGCCACCTTGCGGTCAGGGCCGAGGCCTGCGCCTGCAAAGCCACCCGAACGCCGACGGCAGCCTGGCCCGCAGCGGCTACTCGCCCCGGCCGCCCAGCATCAGCGAGAACGTGGTGATGGAAGCCTTGGCGGCGGGGGCGGACGGCACAGGCCCAGAGGTCAGCCTCGGACTTGCAGAGGACGACCTCGTGCTCCCCGATGACGTGGTGCAGTACATCAGGGCACGTACCAGTGGCACCCTGGAGGAGAGTACCCCACCGGTGTACCCCCCAGAAAGCACGTGCTTCTCTGAGAACCCCAAGCTGCCCAGCCCCGGGCTGCACGGCCAGCGCACCATAGCAGCTGCAGACTCGAACGTGGGCCACTCTGCTCCCATGCTGGGAGGCTGCCCGCTGGCCTACGGGGCCCCCTCCAGCCTGAACAAGAACACCATGCCTGTGCAGTGGAACGAAGTGAGCTCAGGCACCGTGGACGCACTGGCCAGCCAGGTGAAGCCTCTGCCCTTCGCACAGGGCAACCTCGCTGTGGTACCGCAGAAACCAGCCTTTGGCCAGTACCCAGGATACAATCCACAGGGCCTGCAGCCGAGCCCCGGGGGCCTAGACAACTCACAGCCACACCTACAGCCCTGCGGGGGAGCCCCCTCCGCACCCAGGGGGAATTATACACAGCAGCTGCGGCAGCCAGGGGCTGGTGGCCAGTGTCCCAACATGACTGCTGCAGTGAACCCCCACCCCAGCTACGGCCAAGCCCACCCCCAGCTGAGCACCATGGGTGGGACCCTGAACCAATTCCCCTCCTCTTGCAGCAACATGGCAACCAAGCCAGGCCACCTGGGGCTCCCCCAACAAATGGAAGTTGCTCCTGACCCCACCATGATGGGCAGCAGCCACAGGGAGCTCGGCATGCCCAGTTCCAGCCTGGCCGGGATGCCACCACCTCACCCAGCCCAGAACTACCCACAGCAGAGTCATCACCTGGTGACCACCATGAGCCAGGAGGGCTACCACCAAGGCCCCAGCCTGGTGCCCTCCCACCAAGCCGGTTTCATGGAGCCGCAGCAGGGCACGATGGGGGCAGCCGGATCTAGCTTTGGCCTAATGCAGCCCCGGCCACCCCCAGAGCCCGGCCCTGCCGGCCGCCACCGCGGAGTACGTGCTGGGCAGCAGCTGGCCTATGCCAGGGCAACTGGCCATGCCATGGCTGCCATGTCAGCCAACCAGGAGATGGCAGAGTCTGTACCCAAGGGGACAGTGGGCAGCATGTTGTCCCTACCCCCCCAGCCACCCCCGCAGGACACAGGCGGGACCCAGGACCACAGCATGCTCTACTACTACGGCCAGATCCACATGTACGAGCAGAACGGAGGCCCTGAGAACCAGGCCGGCTGCCAAGCCCTGCGGCCCCAGCCAACCCAGCCCCAGGCCTTGCCCTCGCCGGGGGTCGACCAGGTGTCCAGCACCGTGGACTCCCAGCTACTTGAGGCCCCCCAGATTGACTTCGACGCCATCATGGATGACAGCGATCATTCCAGCTTGCTTTCTGGTGCCCTGAGCCCCAGCCTCCTCCACGGCCTCTCCCAGAGCTCCTCCCGCCTCACCACCCCACGCAGCTCCCTGACTCTGCCCTCCATCCCCGCCGGTATCAGCAACATGGCCGTGGGGGACATGAGCTCCATGCTCACCAGCCTGGCCGAGGAGAGCAAGTTCTTGAACATGATGACCTAAGGCCCCGGCCCCTGGCACTGGGCAGACTCAGAGGGACCACCGCTTCCCAGGGCACGGTGCTTTCTTTTGTCTGTTTTACCTTTTTCCCCAAAAAGTATTAAATAGGTCTGAGGGAGTTTGGCCAGTGGCTGGTTCAGACCACAAATGCTTTAAGGGCAGGTTTAGGGGCATCCTGTCTGGTCTTCCTTAGATAATCTTTTGGAACTCTCATAAGTCTCCACGGAAAAGGCAAGGCAGGGGTACAGAACTCATGTACACAGTGCTTCCCAGCCTCTGGTGTTTCTGGGACTGCTCTGTTCTGGCTTTGTCACCTCTGTCATTTGGCTGATGAGGGATAACAGTGGCCCAGGGCATTCCAAGCACACAGGGAAAGAGGTGAGAGGAACCACATTTGGGTTTGAATCCAAAAGCCATACCAGATATTCTAATCCAGGAAGATAAGCTTCTTGCTCCGGTGCCTGCAAGGCAAAGGAATTCCTGGCCCATGGGAATTCTTCTGTGAAGCTTAATTGTTGAAGCCTCTGACATCCCTTGCTGTGGAGGGGAATTTTTTTTTTTTTTTACCTGGATGGTTTGGAAGCACATCCTTATTACGGGCTTGGTAGAGCTGGTGTCTCTACCCTGCAAAGCCAATTTTGCGGCTGGCTGACTGTCCAAGTGTATATGGATGAGTAAAGTATGAAAACATTGCCCAAAAAAGGAAAGAAAACAGTGTAATACTCAGGGCAAGCCAGAAGCTGCCCAGGCCTCTCCAGACCATGTTTACAGTGTTCATGCATATAGAATGTAGCCCTTCCTGAAAAGAACACATTTCTAAATACCTCAGGGCTGCTGGAGCTGCTGGGGGTTAGGGATGGACCAAGGTGAGCTGAAGTGTGTGATGAAGTGGAGCCTGGGTAAAGAAAGCACTCTGGGGACCCAGCCTCAGGCCGCCCTGGAGGTCTCCCAGTAGGACGAGGAAGTCGCATGTTTACCCAACCCTGTTCCTCCAATGCACTGTCTGCCCACCTTATGGTGGGAAACTGGGGGGCTGGATGCCAGCCTTTGCCCACATTCCTCCAGGCCGTGCTGTCCACTCACCAGCAGCCCGCTGACTGACCCCAAGCTACAACATGCAGTCCTGGTATCTTCTGGTCTCCCTTCCCTCCGCCCACCGGTTCATTTCACAGAGAGTAATGACATGCATGGTGTTTGGGGCCGGGGTGGGATTGTGAAGGGGTTGATTCTTGGGACTCTGAGGGACCATCTCTGAATTTTCCTGTTCAGTGTTGACTGAGCCCCACCCGGAAATGAAATTTGGAACTGGCATCAGAAGACATTGTTCCCGAACATATGGGAGGGTGAATGGATGCATCCTCCCCACCACACACGTTCACAAATACCCCACACCTTTCTCATGTTGAATTTGTGGCAACCTTGCTGAATCCACCTGCATCACTATGAACTTGACACTGACTATGAGCCTGGCTTCAACCAGAACATGGCCAAAACCTCACCTGGGCCTCTACAACCCAGGACAACAAGGACTTTGTCAGGGTTCAAAGACAAGGTCAAGTTCAAATGACAGCCTGAGACGCCTCCAAGGATCTGGGCTCTGCGGTGCATGTTCTTTCCCTGGGCTAGGATTTCACTGGCCGTTCCCAGTTTGTATATAATCTGTACAGAAGACGGCGTCCCTGAAAATACTGTAGGTGCATCATCCGGTCAGATTTATATCTCCAAAACATTTTTAGCTTTTTCTACATGCTATGAATTGAGATGACATACTCAACTTGTAAATAAGTCGTTTTTTGTACATTAAAAAAAGTAATTTTTTCATAATTTATTTGGTCTGTCTGCTTCTTCCTTGACATTAGTTAATGAAAACCTGGGCAGTAAATTTAGTGCACTTGAACAGGAATGAGGCTGTATTTTTTTCTCAGCAGCATCAAAATTGACTGTCCCGCCTTCGCCAGGAAATGTTTAACGCTGGGGCATTTACTGGCTGTTTGTCTGTTGTCTCAGGGCGGAGGCCGGGGAGGGGGAGATGTGAGCAGGCTTTGATGTTGTAGCGGGAATATCTTGCTGTTCTTCCAGCCAGGTGGTTGGAACATCTAAGTTGGTTTGCTGATTGTAAGATGCAGCAATGTCAGAAGACCCTCCTCATGTCAGAAGCCCCTCTTGGCCAGGCAGTCGGATGAGCACACTTGAGTTTGTGGGAGGCAGGGAGAGGAAGGCAGGCAGCTCCCTGTCCTCTGGTGCAAAAGCAGAATCAGGCAGGCTGATGAAGCCCTGGATACCCAGCAGCTGGCCATGGGCAGAGGAGCCCGTGGGGAGCAGCCCGATGCAGGGACTCAGCCCTCGGGGGTGGTCCTGGCAGGCACAGGGCTACCCAGGTCTGGCGATCCAGCAAGCTGCCACTGAAGCAACTGAGCTACAGCCGCGTGTCTCGGGGACCAGTGAGGGGAACCAATGGGGCGTGGGGTGGGTTCTGGAAGTGGGAGAGGAGAGCCCAGGATGGGGTTGAAAGAAGTAGAAGGCACCTTCTATAGGGCCAGTTAGGCTGGCCTCTGGGATCCCAGCCCGGGCCCCTTAGCGCCGTCTGCTCTAGGAGAGAAACCTTGGCACCCAGCTCAGAGAGCTGCCAAAGCTGCCTGAAAGACACTCAGCTGAAAACTGGTTCGGAGGGGTGTCACGGATGCTTAGAATAATAGCAAGGGTAGGAAACCCCCGAGGGGAAGGGAATTCAGCAGGTTTCCTTCCTGGGGGTGTCCCGGTCGCTATGTGTTAGGGAACCATTGCATCTCTGGCTGTATCCTCAGGGTGGAGAGTCCAGCCGAGTCAGCCCCAGGAAGTTAGCGGTTTGTACCCTCGGGAGGAGGAACTGAGCAGTCCCGGCTGAGCCCTTCTGCTCTCAAAGCCCATCATCTTCAGGCCTCGCGTCTCTGCTACTTCATCACACGCTGAGTCCCCGGAAGCAGGTGTGCCCTGCTTTGGGGGCAGGGAGAGGCCAGGACTTCAGGGCTGCCTGAGACTGGATGAGCTGCAGTATTAAGATGTCCAATGAGGCCATTCAGCTCAGCCGCATGCTCTGTGTCACTTAACTTTGGCCACGATCATGCTGCATGACCACACCCACGAAGCCTTGGCACCAGGGAACAGCCTCTATTTCACTCAGGAATCTGGCTTCGCTGACAGTGGGCTGATCTCCATTGCGCTGGGTTGGGCGGCCCTGCAGCTCAGCTGGGAGCAGCTCATCCAGCTGGCTGGGCGGGGGCAGCTTGGAGCTGATCCACGCGACCCTCATCTTCCTCCCTGGTCAGGACGCTGGCCTGGGCGCTGCCTTCTCGTAGTGATGAGAGAAGCGTGGGAGAGCAAGCAGAAAAATGTGAGTCTTCCTCAAGCCTCTGCTCAGAACCAGGGCACCATCACATTCACCTCATTCTGGCAAAAGCAAAGTCATGTGGCAAACCCGTATCAGGGTGGGAAGTGCCCTTCCGTAGGAATAAGAGGGATAGAGTGACTATTTCTCAGCAATAGTACAGTCACCCCTGGTCCGCTCTCACGCACTCAGATCCCTCCCACGTGTGGAATAGACTCAGCCAAGATCCCCAGAGTTCTCTCTAGTCAACCGTCAGGCTCAAAGTCTAGGATCATGTGGTCTCCATTTGTTCTAACCTAAAAGCAGAGCGTCTCTGTCCCCCAGGCCCATGCACACGCTCAGCTCACAGAGTGGCCCAGGCTTAAAGTCACTGCGGGTTCCGCTCCCGTCTCAGCCGCTGGTCCACGGCTCTGAGGTTATGCTGGGCAAACGTCACCAAGGACCTTACCCTGGGGTGGAGTGTTCCCCCGTCTACTGTTCTTTGCTCTGGCATCCATGTTGGACGTTCCTAGTTTTTCCATTAACATTTCCGCTTCTGGAGAGGGCACTGAAAAGTGTGCCCTCTTGGGTAGCAGAGTAACTCTTCAACCTCTTCCTGCCTGAAGAGGGTTGAGAGCTTAAGCTACTTTATGTGTCAAGCACCCTCAATATACTGCATGGTTACAATACATCTGCCCACTCAACTCCCTCAAACATGGTGGGTTTTGATATTTGATTCTGGTCTACTCTGCACCAAAGCCACACCCTTAATTCCTTTGTCAGTGGGCATCTCTACACTGATTACTGACACCCCACATCAGGCTGTGTCTAGGCACCTCATCGTCACCGAAGGGCTATTCAGGAGTCATCTTATCCCTTTCAAGGACCATAAGATCAAGGACACACCCTAGACTTCATCTTTGCTCTGAGGCCATGTCTCGCAGGCACCGCCCTAGTCTCTGCGGTGGACCAGAGCTTCGTCTGAACATCTTTGACAGTCCAAAGAGATAAGAGATAAGTGATCGTTTTATTTTCTAAATTCTGCTTTACGCTGGCTTGTTCCTTTCTGAACTCATCTCTTACTTGTGATTCCTTATCATTTACAGTTCAAAGAAGATGCTGTTTATAATATTCTGCCTGGAAACCAGCCTGCCAAATTCCACAAATTCATGAGAACATTTTCTCCCTCCCAGAAGACCATAGGCAATCCTTTTACCGACTATTTCTTCACCACACCATCCAGGTCACTATTTTTCTTGCCATGTTTCCAACCTCCTCTAAGTGTCCTCACTGCCCTGTACCAAACCGATGCTCTGTATTTTAGAACTTGTGTGAACAGCCTCCCATTCTGGGTACCGACTTCTGAAGAAGAATGGTAACACTGTCTGATAAGCACAGAAGTCCTGAAACACAAAACACCCAGCAACTATTTAGCTTGGGAGTCTGCGAGTCAGTGGAGGGGGTTGCCTCAGATGGCAGCTCAGCTCTGCCCCTGGGCCTTCTCCCCTGGGCCCGGAGCATTGCTTGGATATGGTGATGGCACAAGTTCCAGACGGCACATGGACACACAGGAGGTCACTTAGGACCTAGGCTTGGAGCAGAAGGCAGGTCACGTGGCTGAGCCCCAAATCATGGGCTCCAGGAACGCACGCCTCCTGTA